GTACCGTAGCGATGGCGTTTGTGGTCTCTGAACACTATGGCCGGTCTCACCAGCTGTTCCTCAACGCCTCTACTTTGACTATCCCCAACTTCGTGAAAGGAATTGACGTCCGATAATCTCCGATACTGTGCAACCTCCCCCCTTCTTGACGGTCGAAATTCTACCACCGCCAGCAGTTTTTTCTCCTGAACCCTCCAAACCATAAAAACCACCATCAATTATATTGTTATCCCTTTAACTCGGGAGATTTTTCACTGCTGGTCAGATTTGTGTTTAATCGCTTCCCTCGACAATGCCTGTAAACTGGCATTAAATAAATTATTATTATTATTGTTATTATTATATGGAAAAAGTATATTGGTTATGCTTGGAGTCGGCGGGCCCTCTGCGGAGGAAGAAAGGAACCTTGCCTCGTTTGCGCAGACCAATTGGGAAAACTGTGAAAAATAAGGAGACTTAGTCTTGCTTCTGGTAAGTTCACCGCCGTCAACGGCCTTTTGTGCGGACATTAGATTTCTGCTCTTTGTACTTCTTCTGAGTTAGTTTGAAATATTTGACCTCCGATGAATCTGTCTTTTTCAGGATAGTTGTCTACTGGGATCTCCGACAGCCCGTTTGGATCAATAAATTGCTTTATATCAGCAATAGTCCGATCCTCCCGAAACTGCAGCAGGATTTTTTTATTAGAAAACCAATCTTCTTCTGATCCCTCTTCTGTCAACAGCACTGCGAAACTCCCCAAATCCGAGAACGGCTGAGTCGTTTGCTGTCTACTTCATATAAGTGATCTGGTTGGATAGGTTTTCCTACACTTTGAAGAACTTTCCAAGTTTATTTCTTAATAATGTTAATCGAACGAATGCCCCCAGGACGCTGTGCAAAAACTATGCTGGGAGTCGGAAGCAATCTCGAGGAACAGAGTGACAAGGTTACTGTCGTTACCACTATACCACTGTTGTGCAGCAGACGAGCGGAAAAATGGAATAAGCGATAGACAGCGTATCAATGAATACAAGGTTGTATCTCCTGCCATCAGGTCACCTCCAGCCAGACGGGCATAGAGTTTGATAACTTAAATAGGTGTTAACTGCGAAGACGAAACTTACGCGGCTCGTTCCGTTTACATGTCTCAAAGCTTTACGCCAGAACAACAGAATCAGGTAGTTTATTCCAATCCTTAATCGCCCGGTAAGATAATTAATTCGCCCACACTAAAAGCTTGGCGTATTTCGTCTTCACTTTATATGTATGACCTCGGAGAACTGTCGTTCGTGCCATTTCAAAAAATGTCGGCCAATGTCAGTGCACAATCTACTCATTTGACAAGCTTGAAATCATGATCACATCCCCTCTGTATTGCCTGTAAGAGAGAGGGAGACGTTTGAGTCTTTCTAGCCGTTCCTCATAAGGTAGGCTCTTCAGCCCACCGACTTGTTTAGTCGCTCTTCGTTTCACCTTCTCCAAGAGGGTGCAATCTTTCCTCATCCAGTGGCGCCATGCCTGAATGCCATATTCTAAAACTGGCCTGGTAAATGTTTCAAACTTTTGACCGAAAAGCTCTTCGTCGAAGTTAAGGAAGGATCTTCTGACCGCTCACAGGATGCCCATAGCCTTCTATGCTATCTCGGTGCAGTGGGACAAGGGTTTTTGACGGACGTTTTGGACGAGAAGTCATTGAAACTATCAGCGGTCAACTTGGCGTCTAGTATAGGATTTCCAAGAGCGTCTTGGCGGATGGTATGCTGCGTCTTTCTATGAGCTCCTAGTTTTGAGCAAAATGTTTTGCAACGTCTAACAAGCGGCTTCCAGCATAGTGGACTTCGTTGGCTAGTTGTTTTATTTCGGACGATCTCTTAGCCAGCTCAAAGAATGATAAATCGAGGGTAGAACGGAAACGCCGTTTTACAGATGGAATCAACAGAAATGTCAGCGCAACCTATGGCGAAAGGGTAATGGGAGGGAAAACTCATCCCTGACACTAATTATTTTCTCACAAGGGATAAAACGGGAAATGAACGGATCCAAAACTTCGTAGAGTTCGGCGGCGAAAACACTTACATCAGTAGTTAGGAAAAAATCAGTCCCCTCGTTGGAAAAAAGGTATTTTAATAATTCGACTGAACGGGCTTACTGGGAATCGAAGAAAAGCCATACTTTGGGGTCAAAATTTTATCAGCCTCGAGTTCTAACATAGAGACAGCTATGAAATGATTTATGGATTCCCATCGTGACCATTTTACAAGTGATCGTGTAATAAATAATTGTTAACTTCCTGTCCACACTTCTGCAAATCCAGCCCTAGCGCGCAGTCATTTTGACTATGTTAATTCTACTAAGGCATTAATAGATTTCATTACCAGAATTCTCGATCGGTACAGTATTTCCTCAAGTAGCATTGCAAAATTTTTCCACGATTTATTGAAGTGTATAACAGAAGCTCTTCTCGAGTTCATACTGATGAAGAAGTTTACAAACGTATTGCTTTTCTACTGTCCCATATTTACGAAAGTAGCTTGAGTGTCCTTCCAAATTCGCATCATCAGTCCACCTAAGAATGGCTGATATATTTGAATAAGCTTCGAAAACGAGGCTCGCGAGAGATAGGTGTAGAGAGTCTTTAGCGATTACTGCTGTGAATCCTATGAGACATATTGCCCATATTTTCCATCGAAGATCATCGGCTAAGTCATTCCGCATTTGCTTTGTAGCAAAAATACCTTTAATACAGAGAGGTCAGGAAAAAGCAGATCGTCAAATCCATTCATTGCCAAACATTTTACCCCTTTCCTTCAATTCGTCCGACGTTTCCCTCACCACCACTAATTTCGCTTCTGTGAGTATTTGGAAACTGATAAGTCAGCATACTAACTCACACTGAGTAGGAACTGCCAAATTCCCGAACTCACTTTTTAAGCAACTTGAATATTTTCCACCTCTGCCCATCAACTTTCTCTCAATATTTCTTAAGAATGCTTTCTTTCCTGAATATGGGATAACTTCCCTTATCATTCTTGTATTTTTAACATGAAACCTTAGGTAACCCTTCGTTGAAGTTCGAGGGAAACTAAATTCCAAACTTCCCATCTAAAACCCATAGTCACTATAAACAAAATCAACCATGGAACGCTCGAAAATTTTGACAATTTTATGTTCTGTTCAATTTTATTGAGGGAAATGTAGGTCTTCACCTTTGAACTCCTTATCTGATTACATGCAGTTGAAAAAATCTCCAAAAATGGAGAAGGTATCATAAAGGTAACAAATAATCGAAAAAGAGTCTACTCTATATAGATAAACAAACTGCCTCGAGTGTTAGTGGTACAAGCAGTAGTACCATGGTCGTTTCGAGTGCAGGGAAAAAATAAAATTCCCAGTGACAAAAGTTGCATAGGTGCATGCCAGTAAGCGTGGGCGATGGGTTGGAAACAATAGGCAGTTCAATTCAAAATCTTACTGAAATATAGCAAGTAGTATTATAACGACTGGATTTGTCAAGGTTACAGAGGGCGGGTGGTAAGTTAGTGGATATCGCTATACAAATCCAGCTTCCTCTTAAAGACCATGATGGAAGCAGACATAACAACATCCGGAGACAGGGCGTTCCAAGCTTCAAGCACTCTGTTAGAGAAGAAGAACTTTCGTGTGTCCGGCCTGGCCCCGGTCACACGTACTTTGAATGGATGATCTCGTAGGTTTGTGGTGGTTGCTAACTCGAAGAAGTCCCCTGGTACGAGTCTGCAGTCCTGATCGCATATGATAGGAAAGGTTTGAATCATGTCACCCCGTAACTGCCTGCAGTTCAAGGGAAAGAGGTCAAAGATAACTAACCACGCTGCATATGTTAGTGAACCCTGTCCTGTCACAAGTTTCGTTGCACGTCTTTGAACCCTTTCGAGGATGTCTCATAATGGATCAATTTCTTCTGTCCTTGGTGCCTTTCGCAAAGGAAAATTGCCAACACTCACGTCGCAGCAATATGAGGAACTCGTGCCTCTCAACGACCTCGTTGTCACTGAGACTGAAGACAGGCGCCAGCAAAGTTTTAACATTATTTCGAGAAATGCTTCTAAAAGTAGACAGCCCATTGTGGTCGCGTTCCATTTCCTGTACTCACGTGGCCTCAAATTTAAGGTAGCTGAAGCTAAAACACTTTTATCTACCAACAAAAATTCACCTGTTCTTATCAAGTTATTTTCGTTAGTAGACGTAGATTTTCCTTTCTCCCCTTTGGTGCGCTCAGCTCAGTATCTTAGAGCAAATACAGTTCCCATTAGTCGGGATAAAACTTCAATGCAACGCAGAGTTTCCCCCACACTAGCAAACGCAATGCC